CCAAACAGACCCTAAGTAAAAATATTATATACTTTGTAAATATTAATTTAAATTATATTCAATCAAAAATTATATTTATTTTTTTTACACCAATTTAAATTTATTACCTCAACTTAAATAAGTCAAATTTAACTTTTCAAACTTAAAACTCATAATCAAAATTATAAAAATAATAATATGTTACATTCACATCTTACAAATGTCATTGTACTTAAATAATCAAATAAAAATAACAAGTAACCCATCGATTATAGGAATATACACGAAAAAATTACTCTTAGGCATATTCATACACAAAAATGAGTGAATTTTGCTTTGAAAATCATCATCTTATAGACTGAACATGGATTTGCATACTTGACTCGGTCTATATAATATTTTATGCATGCATCATTAAAGACTGCATACTTACACACGGTCTGTTTGACACTTATCACTAAAATTTGAACGAAATTAAATTCTTTATTTTATTAAGAAAATAAAATTTTAAATTTTAAATTGTAAGAATATTTTTTTCATTAATTTTTCTTTCATGAGCATATTAGTTAGGCATTATGTATCTTCATTGTATAATCAGATTGTATGACATACTTTCTCTCTAATTAATAACATCATATCTTATCTTATATTTCTTAAGATTAGTTATGCATGTTTTCACTATGCTATGTGGAGTTAGCTAGTAGTCATATCCAGGCTATGTTAAATTTCAATTGAGTTGGGATTGTTTGATCCTTTGTTGGATCATGTTATAAGTTTTTATTTATTGTATTTTTCATTGGTCTAAGTTTCGAGGTTCTACATGTTCATTAAATCTCGCCTCCAGTCTTAGGATTCTTTGATTGTTCGTCCGTATACGATATAATTTTTCGTTTGTTAGGCTTTTCTTTGATCGGATATTGAGGGATATAAGTCATAATTATCTAATAAAATATCAGCTCAAATATTATTATTATTTTTTAATTTCAAAATCAATAAAGCCAAATATTAAAATAGTTGAAATGTCAATGAGTTTCTTAGATTCTAAACACTTCTAATACATTCTCTTTGATTATTCCTATTTGAACTTTCCCATTTGAAATTCCATGTAAACAATATTGAAAATCAAACTTTAGAATTTTTTAAGACTTAATCTTAGCTTTAATTAAAAGTTTTATTAAGAGATTTTATCTCTTAAGTTATAATTAACAGTAGTTGTTTAGATCTATAGAAAGTTTGTAACCCATATTAAGTTAAACTCTATTTAGACTTTAAGTTAGTTAAGGAAAAGATTTGTTGTTTTGAAATGCAAACTCATACAATATTGAATGAACTTCTTTATTTGAACAATCGAATTCATCATAAAGTGGTATTTCTATTTTTCGAGACAATATATTACTTTTGATGCAAAATTTGATTATTTAAAAAAATTAAAATATTTAAAATTTATGTGTTGGATAAAAAATAAGCTGACAATACTACACCAATGATGCGTAGTACTTTTACTAGAATGAGCTCATTGCTTGTATCTTCAAAAAGTGTCTTGCCTTGCCTTTGGTTCTTCACATCTGAGGCTATGATTTCCTTTAATTTTTTTGGTCATATATGATTCTCAATGACGTTTCCGAGGTGTCGACATTCCTCCTTTCGTTCTTCACGTATGAGATTATTATAAGCATAGTATTTGTTTTGATCATGAAGGTGGCTTCCTGCTCGCATTGGCAAAGGCTTTATGAAGAACTCTTTGTTTTGAATGGCTTTGACAATCACAATCATTGATAGTCTCAAAGGAGTCACATTTGATATGGGAACCGAGATGGCATGTCTCCTATTTGGCCTTTCTCCAGATTAGTGTTTAATTAGAAAATTTTCACTCTTATTGGCAAATTTACTTTCTGATAAATTTTGAGAATACCTTTTGATGACGTAATCTTTTAGATCTCTACGATCTCTAAGCTGTCATCTTTGTAATTTGTTTAGTTATGGATAAGCTTGGAAAAGAATTATATTCCTCGACTAAAATGTGGTTGTTAGCCAACTCCCTTGGCTAGTCCTTAGTTTCTGTAGATTGATAACATATCCTAATCTGGTGTCATGTGGGTGACGACAAGTTCCAAGTCTCTAACATCAAGCTTCATCTGTTGAAACTTGGTGTTGAAGCTCATTAGGCTTACTGAAGACTCGTATAGGATCTTTAATAAATTGGGAGTTTTCTTTGTGGCTTATGAGAGCTAACAAACTTAGAAATGAATATTTGATTAAACTCATTAAAATAGATGATAACTCCCCTAAGTAAGTTGTTGAACCAGCATACAGCTGATTTTCTTAGCATCTCAAAGACTAAATGACACTTCATGGCATCATTTACTTGTAATATGCACACAAAAGACTTGAAAGAAGTTACATGGTCAGTTGGATATGATTCTTCTTTGTAAGATTCCAATTTCTTTGATTCTTCAACATTTTCCTTGTAGTTCTCTTTTTTACATTTCGACTCTGCTCTCGTCATTATTTTTCACTCTAGTATGTGATCTTGAGGGATAAAATGTATGATGAACTATCTTGGCTATTAATCTTGACCTTTCTAAAATTGTTTCCTTAGTGGGAGGTTTTCTTAGTGAATGTGAATTTTGTATTGACTCCACTAACTCTACTGAAGGGTAGGGCTTAGGAGTTTCACGGCCATAACCATTTTCATTCTTTTTCTGGACAACCTCTACCATTTGAGCTTCAGTGGCCTTTAAAGATTCATGTGTCTCAGCAAGTTTACTAACTCGAGCTAATAGAGAGGTCTTAATGAAATTAATGTTTTCCTCAACCAAGTAGATC